CCAAGGGTGGGGGGCCTGTGACGGTCACCCTGACAGGCTTGTAGCTACAACCAGCACCCCACTCCCGGCTCCGGACAACCTGCTTTGTATCCCCAGAGCTCCCTCCTTGCTGTGTCGACTTCTGCTGAGGGTTAGTTTCCCTGCGTGGATCCAGCGAAGTTAATTTCTTGGCTGGAGGTTAGGGGAGTTGCAAAATTTAATACATCAGAAATAAATACTCATAAAAGGTTTGTTGAATGAATGAATTGATTTTTTTAAAGATTTATTTAATTTTGCATAGAAGAACTGGGGTGTAAGCCAGAGGTGAGGGGGTGAGAGGATTCACCAGAGTGGGGAGCAGAACAGGTGGATCTACTGAAATACACTGCTTAGGGGAGCAGTGGGGAGATAGGAGAGGTCTGCTGCGCCATGTGGGTAGCTCCCTGGCCGGGGATCCAACTCATGCTGCAGTGGCTGATGACAGCTTCACAGTGCTGAGATTTTAATCCCTGCACCACCAGGGAGGCCCCAGAATGAATTGATTTAATGACTGTAGCAAGTGGGGCAGCCCAGCACATGTACCAAGATGAGCCCCCCAAGCAGCGCCATCCTGGTATTGAGGGACGGTCACCCCACGGATACCATGGCAGGGAACGGCAGCTCATTTTAAGCTAAAATGCATGGTCGGAGGGTCCGATGACCTTGGGTTCTCTTCATTACCTGAATCTGAACACCTGTTGGCCTTTAAATCTTTAGTGAGTGGATGTGGATGAAATGTGTCACTTCTAAAGTGACAAGTGAAGAGAATTGTGTTTGGGGTTCAGATGAAACTCATTCCACTGATGCAGAGTAGGGAGAGATGTCTAAATTAATAAAAAGTCTCAACTAAACAATGTAAAATTTTCTTATCTTTCCTTTTTATAAGTCCAGTAATACCATTAGAACTGTGTATTGTTTCATTTGCATCTGTGGGAAAGCTAATTTAAGACTAGTAAAATAATTTGGATTATAATTAATATATAATTGCATGTTTCTAAGATTTTTGGAGAAACACCGAGACCCAACACCGAAGATGCGTGATCTGTCACTGCTGGGGGGAAGGCCTTGGGAAGAGAGAGCCCAGCCCTGGGGTGATCCAGGAACACCCGGCCCCCCAGTTCGTGCCTATGCAGAACGGAGCCTGTTTGGAGTAACTAACCCTATTCAGTGTCTTCTCACAACCCACAAAGTCAAAACCCGACCTTAACTCACCAAGGCCAGGGATACGGTGGCTTCTAATGGCTATTAGTGGAGACATAAGGTTCAGAGAATCACGGGTGGGTTGATGACAAAACGCCAGGGGCAGCTGTCCAGACGTCACCATGCCTGAAGGCTGGGGGGCAGGAGACACTAACTCCACCCAGGCACGGGGTCACAGGGGCGCCCCGTGCTACCCGGGCGTGCTTCTCTGTGGTTTAACTTCCCTTCCCGGCTGGAGAGATCCGCTGGGAATGGTGAAGTTGGATGTGACTCTGAGGGCTCCTCACAGAACTGTGGACAACGCTCCTCTTCCCTTTTTATCTTGGCGTCTGACCGCTGGGGTCTGCTCTCTCCTGCTTCCCACGATGGGGAGCAGCTAAGCGCAGAAAGCTCAGATTGTTCCTTGTGCTTGAAGTGGAAGAGAGTGGGTGAGAGAGAACTGGGGGCGCTACTTCCCCTGCGGAAAGTGGAGTAGGAAATCTGGGTGCAGGGGAGCTGTGTGTTCAGCGTGGTTCTGAAGACGGAGGACTGCGCTTGGCCGCTGTCGTGGCTGTCATTCCAAACTAGTCATCACGCCAACCTTCTTCCCATCCATTTCAAATTTGCAAAGTATGACTCTGAGCTTCCACGGAGCTGCTTTGCGCCCCCTTCTGGGAAAGCTGTGTCCTCCATGGCTTCACGAGTGGGGGGAACTTTCCGTTGAGATCCTGGCTATTTTCTAGGCTCTTCCCCTTGGCGTGAAGTGAATTTCCTCCTTGGACCCCTTCTGAGAGGTGTGGGTGCCCCAGACTGTCTCCCTAACATCTCATCTAGGGATGGCTGAGCCCGCTGGTGGGGCATTCTTCAGCACTTCAGTCCCAAGATAACTTCAGAAAATAGCATCTCGCATGCCGTCCAAAAAGACTCAATACTGGCAGGTGCAACATAGCAGAGAATAACGGTCATCACAGCCATAGACCTCTCTGTCCTGGGGGCCCTTCCCGCAGGGAATCAAGTCTAGTCTTTGGCCCAAAGCCCTGATGGCGCCCACGGTGGTGAGGGCTGGTCAGTTCTTTCTGTCTTACTCTCCTTGCCCGGAACACAACCCCGTAGACGGGCACGGAAGCAGCAGACAGTTCTCACGGTGTGGGGCTGGGGAGTCCCAGGTCAGGTGTCTGCTGGTTTAGCTCCTGACCTGCAGGTGGTCCCGCCTCCCCGCGTCCCTGCGTGCCTGGGAGGTGATGGGCCTGGTCTCCTCCCCCGAAGGACACCAACCCCTTCCGGGCCGCAGGTCCTCCTGACCTCGTCTAGATCTCATCACTCCCACCCGCCCCGCTTCCTAATACCGTCACATTGGGGCTGACGGCTTCAACATGAGCTCAGGGTGAGCGGGGTCCGGCGTCCGCTGCCTAGCTGTCCTCTTCTCACGCCGCTCCTCCTCATAGAGGGGATTTGAAATTAGAAGCAGACGCTACACGTGACCTGCCGTCATCGCACGATGCTAGCAAAGCACAGGTCTGCGTGGGGTGACAGGTGAAGGCAGAAGGCAGACCAGAGTCCGCGCGGAGAGCAAGTTTAGTTCTTCGAGGGTGTCCAGCAACGCGCGGAGACGGATGGGGCTTCTCGGAAGCCGCGTTTCAGGGCTCAGCCAAGGAAAGTTCTGCCTGATCTTTTTCTCTGCCAAGCAAGAGCCCTGCTTTACTGATGCCAAATTTGGTGCTTATGAGATGCGGCGAGCCTGCTGAATATTCATTTGCAGCCCTCTCCATCAAGTTTCCTCTTCCAGCTTATTTTCCTTTGACTCGTAATTGGTGTGTTTGCATATTTATGATCTGCTCGCTTCGGAGCTCGTGACCCGCCGGTGGGGCCGTGGTCCTCCCCCCGGCCGGGGCTGGGAGCTCACAGACAAGCCCCTCGGTGCAGACCTGGTGTCCCCTCCATGCAGGCACCTCTGCCCTCGCGCCGCCCGGCTGCTGCAGCCCCGCCCAAGGAGAGGGATGGGATGCCGGGCTCTTGTCAGGTGCTCGCTGCCCGCATCGCAGGGACAAGGGCTCTGAGTGGCCGCCTGGCCCACGCGATCCTTTCTCGAGTGTGTGAAGACAGAGCTCACCGGTCAGTGTGCGGGCCCAGGGGGCTGGCTTAGGCTGCTGAGCCTCCGTCCCGGGATCTGCTCAGGAACCGTGGGGCCTTGGGTCACGAGTCACGTTCCCCTGAACACTCACACACACACACACACACACACGCACACACACACATCACCGGTTAGGTGCTGTCTAGACCCGTAGACTCCAAAGCGCAACCCCTTAAAATAAACTTACTTGATGGAAGCACTTCAGGGCAAGAGAGGTGGAAGCTTTAGATAGGAAAGAAATGTTTGCTGTGACAAAGTGGCTCAGAGCTCTAGAAATTCTCCCAAAGCATCTCCCCACAGCCCTACCCTGGACAGGCTTGACCTGGCCCGGGATGTAACGGGGCGTTCCAGGGGCCTGCGCTGGCCGGGGCCTGTCTGCCGCGTCTTTGTGTCTTAGAGCTTTGTTTCTTTGCCTGTCATGTAAAGTCACAGAACGTGTCCTGCCCGCCTGCTGGTTGTTTTACTCGCTGTCCCGTGTGGGCCTCTGGGAAATGCCATTGTGGGGCCTTTGGGGGCTCAGGAGTGAGTGTCCCCTGAGGGTTTGCAGCCGGAGCCACCCAGTCGCCGGGCAGGTGAGACCCGGTCAGCCGCCCAGCGTCGGGGACCAGAGTGGACGAGTGTGCCATGTGCATCACGAGGTTGAAAGTGCGTGTCCTTCACCTCCATGTCTGGTTCCAATCGAGCCTAAGAAAGTGGCTGAATGCAGGGCCAAAGCCTCACACGAGGCTGCCCGCCGGCACGCCCGTCGGCGGGAGCAGAAGCACCAGAGTGCGCGCTGAGTCATCTGGCCGTAGCCGGACGACGTAATCATAGAGCTGGGGGTGACTGAAGTGTTCCAATCTTGTTTCCATCGAATTTTTATGATCTGAAAAAATTCTGATTATTAAATATTAAATAAAACATTAAATTAAATTAAAAAAATTAAATATGAAATAAAAAGCCAAGCAAAACACTCTGTTCAGCACGAGCGCGGTCCAGGGAACAAAGGGTTTCATCAAACAAGATTTGAGACTCCGGGGACATGGGTGGGGCCGGGTGCTTGTTCTGGACGGGGGTGGCCTTCCTGGCCAGGGCTCAGGCAGGTGCTTTTGAGTCTCGGTCTTTCTGTTCTCGCCCCCAGTTTTTACAAAGATGAGTTGTTTTTACCCTCAGCTGAGTATCACGTTAGATGTGCTAGGGCCACGGTGTTTCCACACAAGCAAGAGGCAGCGGGACTGGCGCTCGCCCAGGCTCCGTGGACACAGTGGGGGTGGCGGCTGGCACGGTCACCGGAGTGTCCCGCAGGGCTGTGGCAACCATGAGGCCTTCACCTTGGGGACCAGGGACCAGCCGGGGCGTGTCTGTCCCCTGCTGAAGTGCAGAGACCCAGCCAGAGTGTCCAGGCTCCTGACCCGAGTGGCCGCCCTGGCCATGCCCTCCCACGATGCCCGGGGCCCAGCAAACCTCTTGGACGTCAAAGGGTGTCAGAGGGCAACTGCGCGTGCTGGCTCCCGGGCCACGTGGGACTCCTGAGGCCGCAGCTGTTTTCTGTTATCTCATGAAAATGTGAGCTTGGCAACAAATGCAGTTAACTCCCCGCAGGGTCACGTCTGGGCTGGGCTGAGGCACACGCCGTCACGCTGTGTGTGTGTCAGAAACACGATCCCATCAGTGGCTCTCTCTGCCCCTTTAGATCCTGGCCAACGTGATCATCTTCATCTGCGGGAACCTGGCGGGCGCCTACCACAAGCACCTCATGGAGCTGGCCCTGCAGCAGACCTACCAGGACACGTGCAACTGCATCAAGTCCCGCATCAAGCTGGAGTTTGAGAAGCGTCAGCAGGTAACACACCTCCGCGGTCTTCTTCCACCTTGTCGGAGGCGTCGTGAATGCTCCTGTGAGCAGCTAGTGGGCAGTTCATTCACTGGGCATCCGGGGCTGCCTGTGGCCCGTGTCCAGCCTCAGACTGTGCAGGTGGTGGGTCTTGTAGCTGAAGAGCAGGCTGAGTGGCCCAGGGTCACCCACAGCTGCGTCAACGGCCAGTGGCTCGTGGCCGGGAAGCGATGATAATGACGGTGGTAATAACATCCTGTCAAGACACCCGCTTTGTGCTCGTGTCATGTGGGATTTTGCCCAGATGAGACCCGAGCCTCCCTCTCACATGCCCACGTTTAGTGCCCGTTGTCCACGTGGGATGAGATGGACAAAGACATCTCGATGGAGGTGCCTGAAGGAGAGTCATGAAGGGGAGCTGTGTGTGTTGGGGGTGGGGGCTGGCCGTGGTTCTGCTCATGTGGTGCGTAGACACCAGGTGAATGCACAGGTCGTGAGGCAGCTGTGCAAAAATGAGAAATGCAGGTACGTAGGTGATGCGGGCAGCAATCGGCGCAGTGTTGTCGGGGAGGTGGGACGCACAAGGAACACATGCTCGTGGCAAGACAGCGCGGGAAGGGTCCTGTCTGCGGCTAATCCGCTTCCCAGGATGTCGGGACATCGGTGACTCGTCTGTGCCGTGTGTTTGTGCCCAGCGCCCCGTCGTGCAGACTCAGGGTGACCAGAGCCACCACACTCACCCGCCCGAGAGCTTTCCTCATGCTGCTCTGCCGTTGCCAGCACGTGGAAGGGGCTTCCTTAGCGTTGGTTAAACTGTGTGGATCGTCCGCACCGTGGAACTCCACCCAAGCGCACTGTGGCGGTGAGAGAGAAATCCTTTCAGGTTTGACGCTGGCTTCTGTTCGTGTGGTGGATAGTAATGAAATTCCTTTTTGAAAACAGGGCGCACAGTTCCTCCCGCAACAAATAGCCATTGCCACGCCCTTGCGCCAGACGTGATTGCAGGCCCTGGTGTGTGGTCTTAGGTGCTGCTCTCTCCGAATGGTGGATCTTGGGGGTGGTTTTTTAAACCGTTTTTGTGTCATGAGACATAGAGCAAAAGTGCAGTGATTTATGTTTAATTCTTCAATCTCTGTGTTCCGGACTCTGCATTCAACATGAAGACACGCAGATAGCATGAAACTGGCCTCCAGCAGAGCTTCAGTAAAATTTTACATCTGGTTCTAGAAAATTTCAGTTTCAGCAAACAGTGTTCGTGATTATTTCTGCTGTAGATCTGGCATTTAGGATAAATGGTCTCCTCGCAGTGTCTGGCTCAGACATACCCAACTCCCTCTTCCATCACGTCCAGAATCTCCTCCGCAGCAGCGCTGAGCGTAGGGGCAGCAGGACTCCACGCGGCCGACCACACACCAAACATGCACAGAACCAAAGTCGGGGGTGGCCTCACGTACTGCGTGGCTCACAGAGGAGCCCTGGACAAGGCCGGGCGCTGCCCCGACATGGTGACCATGGGCTCCAGGGCGTCAGACGGGACGCGCCGCCCTTCCACGGCCCCTGAATGAGACCAGGCGGTCTCGGGGTAGCGACTTCTCGGGGCCGTCGGGGAGGTCCTGTGGGGCTGCATGTAGTGGCTTTAAGAAAAGGAACCAATGATCCTTTTAATAAGGCAAGAGAAAGGTACACTTTGAAGAACAATGAGGCCTTATGCTACAGAGGCTTCATAAAACGGGGTTAGACTCTGTCAGCGTGCTTGGCACCTAAGTTGGAGTCAGCTGCGAGGTCTGGTTCCCAGAACGTGGCCCTTTCCTGGTTGGGCTTCAGAAAGCGTGTCCCTGGAATCAGAACGAAGGCTTGTACTTGATTTGGTGATTCAATGGGAGTGAAAAATTCTTAGTTAATAAAGCCAGTCAGGTGTCACCTGATAGATGGAGGAAAGTGGCCACTGGAAATGAACGTGTCCCTCATGCGACGGGGCCCTTCTGGGGCAGAGAGGCAGGTGCAGGCCAGACCAGTTGAGGTTGCAGGCCCCACGCCTCTTCTGCCCCCACGCGAACCAGCTGTGCAGAGCGGCAGGTCCTCTCGAGTCTGCCCTGAGGGTGGGGTGTCTGCACAGCAGGAACGAAACTGGATTCAGCCACTGTTTGGACAAATCAGCCCCATCCACTTGAACGTGAAACGTGACGGTTGTCTCAGACCAGGTGGGCGCTCCCTGGGGCGAGTGGCCGCCATCTTGAATAGCAGCCGGACCTTGTGTCACGGCTGCCGCTCCCGCTGCTGGCCTTAGTCCCTGGGAGGAAGGCGAGAGTCAGGTGAGCCCCGAATCTGTCCTGCGCCACCCGCCGGGGTGCGGATTGCCCCCCGGGAGGAGCATAAGTTGCTGACAGCTTTCTGAGTTGCTCGACTCCATACTTCCTTCTCGGTGGTGTTTTCCCCTGATGCACGTGATTCCCGGAGATCACAGCGCCATGTTTGAGGGAAGTGGTGGAAGAGGAGAGAGATGAGAACGATAAATCTTAGGCTAGATTTGCTCAGAGTTACATTCTCACCCTTACAGGAAGCACAAACCATAAAAATCATGATTTTTGCACTGGGTGGAGAAAGCGGCACCTGGCACTGGCATTGAGCCTCCTTTGGGCCTGAAGATGGTTTCAGTGAGTTTTGGCTTCTGTCTGAAGTCCCATCTCCTGCAGTAAAGGCTGCAGCATTTCCGAGCGCCTGTCGCACAGCAGGAGGCTCTTTATCAAACCCGTGGCAACAGCGAGTGTTTTCCCTGGAGTAGGTAATAGACTCTCAGGAATTGATGAGCGCTGGGCTCGGAGCAAAACAAGAACCTCTCTCCTCACCGCCTGGCCAGCTGAAATCGATGTTGCCTCTGTTGAAGCAAAAACTGGGCTTGCTTTTTTATAGAGAGAAAATCATTCCACTTTCTGCGTTGTCTTTACTTTAAAGAATTGTGGTTCTTCGCCTCTTGTCTGCCTTCATCTGAAACAATCCTGTGGCTTGAAAGAGACAGACTCTGCATTGCAGCAGCAACAAGCTGGTGGTTCGTGTGCCAGTTCTAAGGTGTCAGAGCCTTTGGGGACTATTCTTATGGGGTGAGGGTGGCATTGAAATCAAGCGTCAAGTTTTGAGCAGTTAATTTTGAGATACCTATTCTATGTCCAAGGGGAGATGCCAAACTGAAGATGTAAATAAAACCTTGGATGAAAATGTGAATTTGGACGTCGTAGCATGTAATTGGAGTTAAATGATCTCCTGGGGAGAGAGTATGATTAGGAAAGACAAAAATGACCTAGATCCGAACCCCAAAGCACACCGACTTTGGAGAAGGGGTGGAGGGAGCGGAGTTAGCTGAAGCTACTGTGAACGGCCCCCACTGTAGAGGAGAGAGGCCTGGCGTGAGCGCGGGAAAGCCAGGAGGTGATAGCACAGACCTGGGCACGGAGCAGGCCAGAGCTTTGCTCCTAAACACAGCTCACGGAGCGCTTCGGTGTATGGTGCTCTTGCTCCTCCAGTGAGTGCATTTTCCGAAAAGTTATGAGTGGATTTTGGATGCATTTTTTGACAAGCAGAGGACAATCCTTTCATTAAACAGCAGCATATTCCATCAGCTGAGTTAAAGGAACATAAAATGTGGCAAGTTCCATTCGAGAGGGAACTGACAGATCTCCCGCAGCTCTCTCCCATGAATGTGGAGAAAAAATTAAAATTTACCTGTCAATAAAGCTTGCTTTTTGTATGCTTTCATGACAAATGTTCCTATTTTCCCATGAAAATTAGCATTTATAGCTGTTGTCTTCCGCCTTTGGGGACACCATGATTTCATTCTACTGCAGTGGGAAATGAACAATATGAGAATAAGGCCCAGAGAGGCCAGATCAGGAATATTGTTATGCGAAGAGAGAGCTACCCGGCGGTGGTATTTCGTGGGTTTTTCTCTAGCGATGAAGTCTTCCGTCATTTTATTTCTTAATAACTTCCTTTCCTGGTGAAACAGAGTGATGGGCTGGATTGTCTTCTGAATGCAAAGAAATAATAGCTAATACAGCCACAGCTGGAGTGGATTTGGGAAACTTGTGTTTTTGATGCTGCAGAGAAAGTTCTGTCGTTCCCAATCATCTTTCCCGTCGCCCCTCGAGTGGGACGTGGGGGATATGAGTCCAGCACCCCAGGCAGCTCTCCAGGCCACTCAGACCCTGCAAGGCAGGACCCAGGTCTGATGCTCCCTGCACCTTCCCAGGGAGGTGCTCCCAGGGGCAGGGAGCCCAGAGGCCCCTTCCTTCAGAGGTGCAAGGGTCAGGGTGCGGCACCTGTCAGGGAGTGGCTGGAAGGTTTATGTGTCATGAGGGAGCCAAACTGCTCTGTTACATGTGCCCCAAGATGCTCAGATCCAGGGCACCTCTAGCTCAGGAGGTTGTGCTAAGTCGGAGTTGAAAACAAAAAGCTCAGAGGTTTCCCAGCACCCACAACTTTAAAAAAGAAGAGGTTCCCCAGCACCCAAATTTCAAAAAAGAGGTTCCCCAGTACCCCAAGTTTAACCTGTTAAAATTATTTAGAGACATTTTATATGGAATATATATATATATATATATGAGGAAATGAGAAGATGCTGGGGCTAGCAGCCTGAATCTTCACTCCCCAGTCCCTCCATGTCTGTGCACACGGTTTCTACACCGGCTCTCCCGTCGGCACTGAGGGAGAGAACCCCCAAGCCCCTGGAGTGAAGAAAAGTAGACTAATGAGGAGCAGAGTCAGGTTTGCATCTCTCGTAAGCAATGCCAGATGCTAAAGAACAGTAGTGCAAAATCAAAAAATCTGTAAATACTATGCACACCGGTGGTGCCCCCAGGCAAAGCGCAGGCAGGCTCACGTGTGCTCAGGAAATGCAGCTCCACGAGGTCGTCTGACGCGGCCCGTGGAGTGTTACCTCCAGTACAAGGAGCAGAGAAGAATTCCAACGAAAGAGAGGAGAAGCTGAGGGATAAAAGAAACTTTGTGACTCAGCA